GTACGAATAAACCATAATTTTCTTTTTCCTTTTTCTTGTAATGAAGTGAAAGGGACGGAGCGACTGATTTTGAAATATGTCGAATTTGTATTAGACCCCTTCGCATTAAATGACAAGTCTCCACTTAAAAAGCAAAAAGCTACTTTTTCTCACGGAGTGAGCAAAATAAGATTTTGCTCACTGATTTCACACAGCAAAATAGCCTTGTTCGAGCTGCTGAGGTGAAAAACAAATTACACTTGGGATCGTCATATTAATTAAACTCTACTGCCAAATCGTAAGGCAGAGTCCCCTGAGAAGAATGAGCAAGAAACTCTAGGGGATGCTCTTTTGAATACATTTATCATTTACAATATTTTTCTCATACGTGCTCGGAAATGTTTGCATTACTTTCATAAAACGAACACGGAAAGTTTATCAGTTATGGACCGTGCGATTTCTTCTCGGCCAAGGCCTGCAATGTAAATATGAAAATCCATTACCGTCCACTTCTCTAAGCTTTTTAATCTACCTACTAGTAATGAACTATGTAAACAGGCAAAAGAAAAACTCATACCGCCGACTGCCCAGTGTTCATGGTTGCGAGAATTAAAAATAGTTACCTGTACCGCTTTCTTAAAAAAGACAACGGCGGTAACACTAGTAAAATGTTTTGATATTCTTTTGTTTTTTCGTCTTTTTTATTTTGGTCGCGAAAATCAGTGCTAGTGAGAAGAGCGATAACGAAAATGTAGTAACAGATACACATTCAAACGCATCATCACTATTATTAACGTGTCTGGAAGTTTTAGCAATATATTTTTTTACTTTTTCTATCAAACATTTTCCTCTCTTTAGTCTTTTATTATTTCCTCACATTGTTTGAGAAAAATTCTGTATATGCCTCGGCGGGAACGGGGATCACTTGACTCGTATTAATACTAGGCCTCTCTGGCGCTCATACTTGTCCAGCAATCCCTTACATCCCGGCCTCTGCAATAATGTACTATATTTCAAACATCTTCTTATATTCAGACTATCTGCAAGGGCTAAACGGGTCGCTACCACGGATTCTTGTCATCCAAGTACACAGAAGCTGTATAATAAATAACCTTTAATATAAAATTTTTGTTTTACTTTACTGTTAAACCTCGTAAATGGCAAATTTTGAATATCAACCGGAATCTTATTATAGAAGCTTATACATTGTCCCTTAAATTAATTTGTGACTTTGTTAACACGACTGTCAAGAACAGCAAGTTTATTATTTTATTCCTCGTGTTAATGCTGTGTCTGTCACTATTTTTAATTAAAAAAATGCTATTCTTCGTAACATAAATAACATTCTCGTAAATGTACTGCGACGCTAGTGCATGAATGTTAATCTGTTTAAACTTATACAAATGTGTTAGTTATGACAAGTGTAAGTACCACTGGAATGCATTTAACTCCGAAGCACGCCCAGACCATAACCAATTTACAAAAGATCATTTCTGAAATTGATTACACTGGAAATCAAATCTCATCTAGCGGTCGCTGTCGAACTTCGATCGGTCGTTAAAGTCATGAAAATGAGGAAGAATCTTATATTAAATTCTATTAATAAGCATAGAATTCGGTGTTCCCGAAATGCTTAAAATAAATTTAATAATCAATCATCAATTCCAACGTGAGCATGTACCATTTGTTCACGTATCATTTCTAACTTAAACAAGTATGCGACACGTCAGGGCGCCCTACTCTCGTAGCTACGAAATCGGTAGTTACGACTGTTGTCCCACTATGAATGACCTACAGACTTAAGTTTCGATTGAGGCTAGAACTATGTACCACAACGCGATTTGACAATTTCAAACGACGACGAAGTCGGGCACTTTTCGTTCCGTAGGTCATCCATAGTGCGAAACGATTAATTCTAAAAATTTGTGATTACGCATAGTTTTCGAGTCCTTAGGTTTTCGCGGTTAATACACATGGGAAATAAAACTTTTTTTTTTTTTTTGGTCTAAAATTGTTTTTTTTTTTTTAAATTGTTTTTTTTTAACCAAACCAACGTTTTGGACTTTTGACAGGTCCCATGGTCACAGGTGACTCAGTCAATCAGTCAGGCTTAACCGTGATTATGGAACCTGCAAAGGACACAAAACGTTTTTTTTAAATATATACTTAAGCGATTTATATCCGAAAAAAATAGACTAATTTCCTTTAGGTACGTTGGGCGCACTATAAGTTTCCGGAATGAATTGGAAAAAATACTATAAATGTTCAGAAATGAATTTATTGGTTCTCAAAATATTCTCAGTTAGCGTCAATGCACTTTTTCATACGAAAGAACCAAATTTGAAAACATTTATGCCACTCCTCCGTGACAATATGAAACATATTTTTCATACTCTTCGACAGCCTCTTCTGGTGATGGAAATTGTTGACCGCGTAACTAGTTCTTCATTTTTGGAAATAAATAACAGTCACAAGGTGCCAGGTCGGGACTGTACGCGGGATGGCTCATAAGGTCAACGTTGTACACCTTCAAAAATTCATTTGTCTGTCTGGCCGTGTGAGAACTGGCATTATCGTGGTGCAAGATGATACGGCGTTTACGGTTATTTTTACGGAGTTTTTCAATAACTTCCGGCAAACAAATGGTCGTGTACCAATCACTATTCACAGTACAATTCTCCAAAGCAACAGTAAACACGTGTCTAGTTTTATTAAAAAAAGAAGCAATCATCCGCTTAGAGGCACTTTCCTCGCGCGCCACTTTTGTTGGTTTCGGCTCATCTCGAATAACCCTTACGCTCGATTACTGCTTTGTTTTTGGGATCGTAACTATAAATCCATATTTCGTCACCTGTTACTATTTCCCATACCAAATTTGACGCCCTTTCGTTGAATCTGGTAAGCATGGCATTGCACCAAGTGACGCGATCCGTTTTTTGAGCCTCAGTCAAAATTCTGTAATTGTGTTGGATCCACCGAGAGCACAGCTTTTTCACACCCAAATGTTTGTGTAGTATTAATTGTATTTGACTCATGCCTATGCCTAAAGATGCCCGAATCTTATGGTATGTCACATGCCTGTCTGTTTTGATCATACGGCGCACAGCATGGATGTTTTTGTTGTTCACAGCAGTGGACGGGCGACCATCACGAAATTCGTCACTGTGATTCACACGACCGCGTTTGAATTCTGCAAGCTAGCTATAAATAGTCGTCTTGCATGGTGCTTCATCACCAAAAGCAGTTTGAAGCCGAGCGAAGCTCCGCTAAGGTGTTAAATTACGCTTAAAGTCGTAGAAAATCATATTACGAAAATTTTCACGAGTTAAATTCATGGTGATGTAGACAACCAATTTCTAAAATGACACCATAATGTAAAAACAAGTGACAGTCAACAAACTGTATTCAACAGGCAAAGAGTTCAATTTTCAAATCTTCTAATTACTTTTTAAATATTAACTTATAGTGTATCGATTCATTTTTTTATGGGAGTTGGTAGACGTTCGTAGGTTTAGTAAGTCGTCCCATGGGAAAGTACCAAAAAAAACTGTTACTATATTCATTCATGAAGTTGAAGAACAGAGCTTCAATTATTAATTTAGACACCAATTTCACCCGTTGACGGAAGTTGACCAATTATCTTACATCCTGGCGTGGCATCATAGAAGCGAAAATGGCGATAAAACAGATTCGATGGGTACGCATCACGGTCATAATTTCCCCAGACGCCCTGGCGACAAAAAATAGAACTGCTTTTATTCAAACTTCGATATGTAAACTCTCGACACGTTCGAGCGAATCCGTGATTTCAGCATTTGCGCTATTTCTTTTTTATCGTACGACAGACTAATATTTTTTTTAGATTTGCATAGCGTTATTCTCATTTGCGACGCAAGATTTTGTTGGTCATATTTAGATGCAAAGCACTTTAGTAGTCACATATGTTATGTATTAAGTCGTAAACATAGATTAATGGAGCCAATTTATAAGCATTGAAATGACGTTTGTTTGTGTTCCAATTTAACGTTGGTTCAGGCAACAGCACGTCGTGAAGCGTAATTGCGTGCTCGTAAATTCAACAGCGTTTTTTTCAAGAGTTGTCCGAACGCTACTTAATCATCCTATGTCTTACGTCAACCTTACCATTCTTCAGGGACCTAAAAAGTTGACGTATGCGGCTTCGTGGCTTTTTCTGTGTAAAAAACATGTCATCTTCAGTGATTTGAAGATATATATTGAAAACATTGTTGTTTTACTTTGACTATTGTGAGACACAAACATGGTAATTTTAATTGAAACTGAGTGAAGTGGATACAAATCCCTGTCTTCTTGGCAAACAAAAGAAATCATAAATTATACCACTGTAGTTACCAAAATCGCACGAAAGACGATATTCTTCGAAATCAACAACTTTTAGTTTAACCCAATTATTTTATAATTTTTGTAGGTCAATGTTTTTGTTAGCAACCACCCAACAACGTTAAGCAATTATATCTATCAAGGAGGCACGAGTGTAATAACTTAACGCTCTGATCCCATGAACATTGCAAGTAATCCAAATGGGACTAACTTCGAGCGGCTCCAGATCTCGGGGACCCGGAGTAGATAACGACTCATTATTAAGCGGCAGGCGTTGAGATCCGCGGGTCATCGTACCATGAAACGGTAGTACCTCATCGTAACTTCCACTTACAAGTCCTGCATTATAGAATAAGGGATGACCGCTTCACTCAGACCATAAAATTGTTTACAAGAGGTTCCACGAATGCCACAAGGCTAACGATCTTCTCGACAGCAAGGACGTCGAGACCAAAAAATAGCATTATTAGCCGAGTAGTATCGTAAATCAGCCGAAAGGAATTGAAATGTCCGGTGGCGGTGGCGGCGGCGGTGCGGTGGCGCGGCGGTGGCCGGGGCTCGGCGCGGAGCGGCGGCGGCGCGGCGGAATCAGGAGCTGCGGGGCGCGTGCGCGGCGCCGGGAGAGGCGCGGGGCGGCGCAGCCTCCCAGCCTCCGTGCACTCCTCGGCCGCCCGCCGCCCGCATCGATCCCTTCGGGCCGCAGCCTCCGGCGAGCCGGGCTCATCGCGCGCCCCTCGCATCCGCGCGCCTCCTCGCGCCGCGCGCCGCCGTCGCCGCCGCCCGAGCCGCTCGCTGCTCGCTGCTCGCTCGGCCCCGAGCACCGATCTCGTCTCGAGCCCGCGCTACCCACGATAACGCAAATCGACAGTGTTGCAGGTTATAATCGTGTCCGCTTACGTAACGTTGCGATTTGTGCGTATTGACAGGTTATGTGTGAGTGGTAGTCGGAAAATCCGAGGTTCCGGTTGTGCCGCTGCGACCTTATTAGTGCCACTTTGCAATCAAAGTTACGTAGTGAAATTTGTAGTTGTACGTTTATGTATTCGATGCTATGAAGAGACATAAAATATACGTTTTATCATAATGTTATCGATGCGGCAATCTGAAATTTACGGCTACGGCTACGACCGCCGCTACACACACACAGTCTCCGTAAACGTAGAATACCGCGCCGTAGTCCTATCGCTTCATCCGAGTTGCGACCTTGCCTCGCCGAACACAGAGTTGAAAAAGGCCTGTTCGGTGATCGGCTACGATATATAAAACTTTTAAGAGTCGTATTTGACACATCCTCCTCATTCATCTGCATAAGTCATAGTACAACATTAATATTATTGTAATCTGTAACGTACACTACAGAGCGTAATATTGCCGCCACGGCCATAATTAATTTGTGTAATTACGCGACGCAATCCATTTGTCACTTCATGCATTTCTAATTAGCGGTAGCTATTAGCCAAACACACGAACTGTACTGCACTGCCGCTATTATATATTATATGTTAACGTTTGCGTAAGTTAAAAATATAGAAACTGTCAACTAACAAAGAGGCCAAAATCAAACCTAAAGAGAAACAATGATTTAGTATGAATATATAAAACACGCTGACATTGTGCAGTGTTAACAATAGAGAGTTTATAATAGCAACGGGGTGGCAGTGAAAGAATCTCAATGCCTCTGCCGTCGGGTGGCTAAATCGGAAACTCTGTCATTTTCACTTTCAGATGCTTTTGCCCCAATTCCGCATCTCCATTTAAGGCAGCGCATTGACACGGCGTAAAACTGAGGCCGTCGGGTTATTATTATACTTAGTGCTATTTTTGTGCCACTTTCTTATAATTTCACTATTAATTAAAAAAAAGTTTTAGTTACGAATTAATTAATGAAAATCATAAATTTGATTCATATATTGTCGTTGTAGCCCAAAAAATATTTACCAAGACCGCTACAATATGTGATCGCAACATTATATACACAAATCTACTTAATTTATTACCATTAGCTAAAAGTCAATGAGTAAGTGATAATTATTTAGTAAAAAAAACTACGGAAGTCTAACCAAGTTTATTGTTCACGTATCTGAAAAGGTAATTTATTTCGTACTTATTTTAAGAAACACGTTTAACGTCTTCTTAAAATTTGAATCAGAATCCCTGAATTTTTGCTCAAATAAAACCAAAATTGCTATGATGACAATCCAGACTATAAAACAAATTTGAAGTTCTTATTTCTAACGCCGCTATATCACAAGTCAAACTATAATTAAACTATGATAGGAAAAAACCAACTAACCAAAAATATGTATTTACAAACACAACAAATTGCAACATCAAATAGCTACATTCAATGTATACAAATCCAAATATATACATTTTTATGCGAACAGGTTAACCTGTTAATTGGCGCGAAAAAAATTATTGACTAATGTGAATTAGTGTACATGAGAAGATGTAGTGAAGTAATTAGCAGGCGGGATTAAGCTGATGGTGTGTTTGCAGTTCGTTTAGTGTTGTATTTGCTGTGCTTTGTGCAGTGCACACATAACACGAGCAAGTCACGCTGCGACCGCCGTGACCCAACGCCAATTAATACATCACGTACGAAAAGACTTAAAAACACCACTGCTTAAGGATAATCCACACACTGTATGATCATCTACCACACTTATAACACAAAAACTGCTCATCAAATAGACAGGTTTTTATTCAAACTTGTGGTTAATTTTTCAACAGTTTTATGAGTAAAAGTAAATAAGGTGTCGGCTGGGTATTTGCCAAGTTTAAGTCATCGATAATAAGAATCACTCACCGTTTATTATACATAAATTACTATTACGAACATTGGGTGTGGACGTGCGGACGGTATTTGAAGTTTTCTTTTTCGGATTTTTGAAAATAGTGATGAAAGGGGGCGTGACGGTCGCGTGAACGAAGCATACTGGGTACAGTGAGCTGCGCGTGAGCATGGCTACGGAAAAGGAGAAAATGGCGGCGGCTGAAACTAAGTCGCCATCAAACAAGAGCAACTGCACCTCGCCGGGAAAAAAAGGTAAAATGGCTTATACTAAAACGTGAGAAGAGCTTCTATGCGTGGCAATCTCTATTTTCGTGTAATAATTTTCATGTTAGTTTTTTCTATCTAATTTCGGTGGCAAATTTTGTTATTTAAATATTCAAGAATATTATCATGAAGTATTATTTAATATTCGGGTGTAGTTAGTTGCCTGAAATTTCACGATAAATTACTCGAATACTTAAATAATAAAAATTGCCACGAAAACTAATATGAAAATTGCTCAAAAACATAAATTATACGTACAAACATTGTTGGTAAGCTGTTTATAGCTAACAGCCAAAAACTGTCTACAACAAAAAACTTTTCGAAACAAAGTGAAATTGTTTTTCTTTTATTATATTTGTGTGCAGAGAAAAAATGTTTTTTTATTTGATTTTCTATTCTTAACAAATGATTAAAATTGTATCCCCATTGTTTGTGAAGGCGAAGGAAAGATGTAGCATTTGGTCAGTTGTAAGGCTTCGCGCCTTGGCAGCGAATAAAGTCACACAATCCGCTTATAAACAACGTGATTCACAGTTTGTGTTATAAAATGATCCATAACTAAATCTTAGTAGTACTTTTTCTAAATATTTTTAGTCAATGTTTTGATGGTGTTGTCCATAAGTTTCTATTAATTATTCTGTCAGGAAACTGTGGTTCGAATGGTAAGCTTGAACCGGAAAGACAATATGAATAGCGTCAGACTATCTTTCGCCTGCAATTAGCCAGTTGGTCACCATACGACTACATTACGAACAAATTCACATGCCTATCCTTCAAATTCTGAATTAATTTTGAAATACAACAGCAGAGCTATAACCAGACGTCTACGGCGACCTAACGGTTTGCACTGTGGGCGCTGGATGAGAAGATCCCGGGTTTGATTCCCAGGAGGATAAATATGGGACACGAACTTTTCTAAATTGATTCTTTAAAATTACAAAATAATTTATTTACAAATATTATTACATTACATTATATATATTTAAATTACGACAAAGAACCAGGTAACACACCTCAACTGTAGCGTATATCGCGTACAGAGAATTTCCTACGATTCCTGCACTAGGCAAAGCCTGTCCGCAGGTAATCGATAAAGCTATATCAAAATTCTGTCTGAGTATTCTGGGAAGTACCCCAGTGTGAATTCCGTTGCTCTGGTACTCATGGTACAGGAAATTCCGTAGTTTGAGATCAAGTGATTTGTATGATTGTCTGGGACATTATTTTTATTACTATTAAATCAGAATAAGCAGAGTATATTTACCTACCTTGATGCGAAACCAGGAATTAAGTTTTTTTTTTAAGAAGCGAGGTATTGTTCACCCTTTACGTATTACATGTACTTTATATAAATATTTACTGCCTATTCCGTTTTTTGGTTATAACTCGTCAAATCTTCCTAAAGCATCATAATCATTAGGTAAATGCAATGAAATGGCATTTTGATTCGTTGGATATAAGCACTGTTTAGGGTGTTTTTGAGGCTACTGTTCTCTACCTAATTTCTGTGGTAATTTACTTTAATTTTTCTATAATTGAATATCATTTAAAAAACAAAATATAAGTACTATTTATACTTCATGCAAATATTCTAGAATACTTAAATGTTAAAAATTGCCATCGAAACTAGGTATACAGAACACTAACCAGGCATCGCTAGAGATAGGCTCACACCCGAGTTATTACCAAAGGTATTTTTTAGTTTATTACCATATTTTACAATGTGGTATTTATTTTAAACATTTCTTTTGATTACTCTTTTATATTTAGTATTTATACAGATCTTAAGTAAAACAGGAAAACGGTAATATACACTGTATACGTAAGTAGTTTCGCAAATGTAATAATTTACATTTTTTTCTACAAGTTATTGCATTTAACGTCTCAGAAGGACTTACATTGACCGAATCAGTGATATCCTCAAAAAAGCTGGGATCCAAAATGACAAGAATAAAGGAAGTAGTATGAAAAGGGTGGTTGATGTACGTGAGGCTCGAGAATTGTGTCAGGATAGAGTAGCGTTTCGTCGTCTTCGCCTAACCCTCCTAGGGCATGAGGCTATGTATGTATGTATGTAATTAATTGTATTTCGAATTAATATAAATTAGTATTTGTAAATTTAGATTTTTTTATTACTGTACAAGCAGTGTGTCAAAATTTATTATGTCAATAACGAGTTCAAATACATATTAAAATTTATATAGCAATTTGTTTTCGTTTGGTAAATTGTCGAAAATAACCTTTTTTTATTACTTTATGGTACGAGGTTGGTATAAAACGATAATTTAGATCTAATTTGCCTTTCAATGAGTGCACCACGTGTTTTAGTTTATTACTGAGAAATACACAAATAACCCTAATGTACATATATGGGAAAGACAATGTGTTTAGTTCTTTAACAATGGTTTGCATTATAAAACCACATGCTGCAAATCGATCGAGCACTTCTTTGGAGTCCTGAACGATTTTTCTAAAACTTAATAAAGTATATGACTACACTTTGGCACAAGATACGGACTTTTATTTGTGTACGTGTGTCCTGTGTAAGGGAAAAAGGTACCACGAGCAAACTACGAGCCATACGCTTCTTAACTCACGGTTAAGCTCGACTGTGTAGCTGCGATGTTCCCTAAAAAGGTAACGTGGCGATTTTTGCCCCACTGACCGGAAATTGCACACAACCGAGTGCTACAAGTCGGACCTACAAATACCACATAAGATTCCGGTAAAAGTTCACGTGAAAGTAACAAATTCTTCTTCATGATTTTAGTATAGCATGTAATAAATAATCAAGCGAAATGGCTATGGTTACAGATAGCAATGTAACAGACAACATTGCTTACAAACCTTGCTGGTAGCTGAAAGCGCAATCCTTTGTGTTTGCACAAAGGCTTCGCCGGCTTTTCGGTGCCCCGATTGCCAAGGAGTGCTTTGTTATTTGGATACAAAGTAACATTATTCGAAATCGGATGAGTAAAACTATCTAACATATCGAAAGTTTTCGCAAAGTAAATAATTTTTTTTAGAAAAAAAGTGACCTGAATGAAAAAATATCCTTTCTATACAAAATTATCATTAGAAGGATTCTCTACCTAAATTCGGTGGCAATTTTCATTGTTTAAATAGTCTAGAATTTTAATAAATAAGTGCGCAATTGACCACCATCTCACCTGGGCCCCAACTAATTTGAAATCATCTCAGTTGAGTGTCGGTACATTGTTAATGGAAGGATTTTGTACGTTTCTATTCTGCTAAAAGTTGAGAGTAGCTTGCGAATATCTTGTCATAGAGTTGCTATTTAACTGCAATTGTGATTTTTTGATATTCTGCTCTTCAATGATGAGTTGATGGCACGTCTACGTGTAGTGTATTAATATTACGTATATTTAATATGAAGAGTAAATTGGTGTTTAAACGAAATAAAAATTATGATATGCATAGTAACTTGTATGGTAGTTTTAGTAAGGCAATATCGATCTTTAGTAATTGAATGAATGAATATCTTCCTTCCTACCTTCACTGCCTTTACTAGATTGAACGGAATAGCAAATATTATCATTATTGCAATGTAATATCAACGTAGTCTTAATGGAATTACAATGGCCAGTGCTTTCCAAAAAAAATGCAGAATTGGGCCCCTGATGAAAAGTGACGATGGAACATGCACGTCTAAATAGTGCCTATTCAGTCTCGCCTTCAAAAGGACCAGGTTATACGTTATCGTACAGAGAACAAGTCTGCAAGCAGGAAGTTCCACCCCACAGCCTTTCACCATAATTATACTGTCCCACTGTTACCTGTCACAAACAAATCTTAAAGGGGTGAAATAGAGGAGAAAAGTTTGTATGGACAACCAATAAAACTTTGAAAATTGGTACAGTACAGTATACTACCCGAAGTATTTATTCTTTATTTAAGGGTGCTGGTGAAAAGTAGCAGTACGTCCACGGAAGTACTGCCACCTTACCAATTTCTGCCACCAAGCAGTAATGTCAACATTACTGTGTTCCGGTTTTGAAGGGAAGGGTGAAATTACAGCACGTAGGACTTGTCAACTTACGTCTCAGGGTGATAAATCTATTCGATTCAAAGCTCTGAGTGGCACTGCAGCTGTTATGGACAGGCGTGTAACTTAGCATCATCTTGTTCGTCCCGCCACTTGACATTATAAAAAAATCCTTTGAATAACCGAAAAATCTACGATACCGCCACCCAAAAGACCATATGGCAAATCGCTCATGATTGTGGCAGTAGGAGCTGTACTTGTTCTGGAATACATGTATCTCATGTTTACACAAATAAAGAATCTCACTCATTTACTCGTATTTTAACGTCACACAGAAGTAATAACTGAATAAGCGAATTGTCAGAATGATAATTAGTTTATTTCCCACAAGACGAAACCGCTTTATGTAACCTGGTTGGAAAATTACTTACCCTTTATAACCCTAGAGCGTGAGAAACTATCACATTTATTTTAAAAGAGCAATAGATCAAAGAGTAAACAGGTCCTGGGCGGAGCACTAATTTACTCGTAAAACCCCGACGGCTCGGAGAAGCAACGCCTTTAGCGCATTTCACGAATATCTCGAATGTCCGCGCCAACGTTAGAAGGAAGGCTTAATCTGAGAGAGGCTCAAGGAGATTACTTCTCTCATCCGACTCATCTCTCCGCTTTTCAATGTCGAGATTGGTTTCCAATTCATTTTTCAAATAAAATTCTGAATCTTTAAATTCTTACTTAGTATTTAAAATAAAAAATTCTATTCAAAGTAAATTTTTCGCTCCTAAATACGATGTTAGCAATCATTTTCTAACAATCACACCAAAGTATTTTTTTGGTTAATATTAAACATTTATAAAGTTACATATATGTCCACCGCCGAAAACCTTTACTTCTGTAAAGAGAAGGTTTAGGTCTTGTTTAAGCGGGCCATTCACGGATTTCGGTAAGTATCAAATAAAAATAATAACAATACTAGTTAGCC